TGAAGCACTTACTGATGAAGATCAGAGACAGTCAACACCCATGGAAGCAGCAGTCAAGAAATCAGACATCATATTGCACTGGGTAAATCTGCTGCAAAAGACCTCTTTCAAGTGTTGAGGAGCACTCTGAAGACTATGGTGTGCCTAATACAAGCCATGGTATTTTCAATTGCTTCATATGCATGTGAAAGCTGGACAATGAATAAGGAAGACTGAAGAAGAGTTGATGTCTTTGAATTGCAGTGTTGGTGAAGAATACTGAAAATATCATGGACTATCAGAAAAGCAAACAAATCCATCCTGGAAGAAGTGCAGCCAGAATGCTCCTTGGAAACAAGAATGGCCAGACTTCATCTCACCTACTTCAGGCATGTTGTCAGAAGGGAACCATTCCCTAGAGAAGAATATCATGCTTGGCAAAGTAGAGGGTCAGTGAAAAAGGGGAGGACCCTCATCAAGATGGACTGGCACAGTGGCTGCAACGATGGGCTCAGACATAGCAGGGACCGTGAGGCTGGCGCAGGACCAGGCAGTGTTCCCTTCTGCTGTACACAGGGGCAGTACGAAGTGGAGGTGGCTCAACAGCACTTAACACCACCACCACCACAATCAAAGCCCGTGGATACAGCAGCCAAGAAATCAAAAAAAGGTATTACGTTGAAAAAAACTACTACAAAAGACCTCTTTTAGGTGTTAAAAAGTAAAGATGTCACTTTGAGAACTAAGGTGCACCTGACCCAAACCATGGCATTTTCAATAGCCTCAGATGCATGTGAAAGCTGGGCAATGAATAAGGAAGACCCAAGAAGAGTTGATGCCTTTGAATTATGACGTTGATGAAAAACACTGAATATACTGTGGAATGCCAGAAAAATGAACAAATCTGTCTTGGAAGAAGTACACAGACCGAATGCTCCTTAGAAGTATTGTAAGAAGAATGGTAAGACTTCATTTCACATACTTTGGACATGTTATCAGGAAGGACCAGTTCCTGAAGAAGAACATCATACTTCGTAAAACAGAGGGTCAGCAAAAAGAGGAAGACCCTCACTGAGACGGAATGACACGCTGGCTACCACAACGCGCTCAAACAGAGCAATGGTTTTGAGGATGGCACAGGCACAAAAGTGTTTTGTTCTGCTGTACATAGGGTCACTATGAGTCAGAACCGATTCAACCTAACAACAACATTAGGAGTGAGAGATATAACCATGAAAACAGACAAGGTCCCTCATCTCTTGGAGCTTATTTTCCAATGTTGAAGAAAACAGAAAACAAATGAGTAAGATTTATCAAGTGTTAAAAAAAAAATTATCAAGTGTTTAAAGGAACCCTAGGAGCTCTGGTAGCATAATGGCTAAAGCACTTGACTGCTAACCAGAAGGCTGGCAGTTCAAACCCACCAGCCACTCCTCGGAAGGAAGGTTGGGTAATCCTACTTCCATAGTGATACTGCCTCGGAAACCGAAGGAGGGGTCGCTATGAGTTGGGCCGACTCGACGGCACATAACAACAACAACAACAACAAAGGAACCCTAGTGGCACAATGGTTAAGTGCTCAACTGCTAACTGAAAAGTTGGCAGTTCAAACCCAGCAGCTGCTCTAAGGTAGAAAGATGTGGCAGTCTGCTTCTATAAAGATTATAGCCTTGAAAAACTCATGGGGCAGTTCTCTTATGTTCTCTAGAGTCTACGAGTGCCTAAGGCATTTGACTGCTGACCAGAAGGCTGGCAGTTCAAACCCACCAGCCACTCCTCGGAAGAAAGGTTGGGCAATCTACTTCCATAGTGATACCGCCTCAGAAACCCAAGGAGTGGTCGGTATGAGTTGGATCCAACTCCATAGCAGTGGTTGCATTTGTTGCGTTGCTATAGGTTAGAGTACCTGGTGGCCTGTCAAGAAGATTCCTCTAAACAGAGACTTGAATGATCAGAAGAAATCAGTCTTAAGGGGAGAATATTTTAGGCAGAAGAAACAATTGGTACGAAGGTACTATGACTGGAAAAAGCTATTCAAGAAACACAAAAACACAAAAAGTGTTCAAGAAACAGAAAGCAGACTAGAGGATTGAGCAAGAAGTGACTGAGTCCTAATTGTAGAGCCAGGAACAAATCGTATTCTCTAGATCCTGAACCGAGTATTTTTTCTTACATGGTGAGAGTACAGACAGACTGAGAGAGACACTGGGCAGTTAGGAATGTGGTCTGGAGCTCAGGAGCCCCTACAGTTGGCTGAATGGTCCCAAAGATATCAGGTCCAATTTCCTGGGACCTATATTCTTTTGCATGGTCAATTACAGCTGCAATTACATTAAATCTCTTGAGATGAGGAGATTATCCTGGATTACCTAGTGGGTCCCTATTGCTATCACAAATGTCCTTATGAGAGAGGCCAAGGGGGATCAGACAGATAAAGAAAGGAGAAGAGGATGTGAAGACAAAGGCAGCGATTGGTGTGATGCAGCCACAAGCCAAAGAATGCCAGCAGCCACCAGAAGTTGGAAAAGGCAATGAATGGATTCTCCTCGAGAGCCTCCATAGGGAGCACAGCCCTGCCAACACCTTGTCTGCCAGGTGACACGTTTCTGAATTCTAGTCTCCAGAACTACGAAAGAATAAATTTCTGTTGTTTTAAGCCAGTGGGTTGTGCAATTCATTACTAATTAAAGTACTTTAGACAAGATCTATAGATTTGGACATCATCAGCAGACAGCTAGTAGCTGAAACTGTGAATGGAGGACGGCATTCAGGGAGAAACTACACTAAGAGAACCAGAGCTAGAACTTTGGAGATCATAGGTGGTAAGGAGTTGCCAGCTTCCAGTTAAAGATGACGGACTCAGCAGGTGTATTTACTTCTGCAACTTCTTATCAAAATGAAAGTAAAAGGGTTTCCAGAAAAGTTATAAATCCAAAAGGACAAAGAAAACACAGAAGAGATGATAGCATTTTGGAAGGAACAGACCCAGCAGGTCTATGAAAGCTGAATGCTAAGCCACTAGTGGGGAAAGCCAAGAAGGAGCCAGGTTTGTTCCAGGAACCCTCCAAACGGCACCAGAATTAGTAGCCCCAAGTACCCCTGGAGGTGGGGGCACAATATGGACTAAAACAGAAAGACTGGTTGCAAACTTGTTTAAAAGTAATTTGACTCCAACTCTCTCCTCATTTGTATAGCCAAGCTATGAACCTCCACTAAGCCCTGGAAGAAGACTGGAGTTTCTTCTCTGAAAAAAGGTAAAATGAGAGGGACTCTGGATGGTTCAGGCAGAAGGTACTGTACTGAAAACTGGGGGATAAAGTAAAGTTCACATAGTGAAAGCTGAGAGCCCCATTCAGCTTCCAAAACTTTGACACCAGGTTTATCCTATTCACACAAGGGACTGGAGAGTGTCATCTGGTGATGTGACAGCCTAAGAGGGCAGAGCTACAGATACTCAACAGGGGTTCCTCAAGGAAATGGTCCATCCAGCTCCTCCTCACTGAAACCACAGTCATCAAGCCCCACTCATACACAAAGAACTTCCCACCAGCTTTTTAGTGCTCCATCCTTAAGTATGAGAAGACAGCCAAAAAATCACTAGACATCTGAAGAAATTTGTGTTGTTACAGAACTTCTAGATGGTAGGGAAGTCAAGACAACTACAAGATATAACTGTCTGCTCTAAACTGGGGAAGAAAACTATAAATCACAGGGTAACCTCAAAGAAAAATGATAAACCTCGGAAGGAGGGTTGGGCAATCTACTTCCGTAGTGATACTGCCTCGGAAACCCAAGGAGGGGTCACTATGAGTCGGGGCCGACTCAACGGCACCTAACAACAACAACAACATGAAGCACTAAAGAATAATGTACAGTCTGCAAAACATCGCATAATATGGATGAACTTGAAGGACATTATGCTGAGTGACATAAGTCAATAACAGAAGGACAAATACAGTACTAGTTCATTGTTGTAGAGGGTCTAGGAAAGATTTATATATGGAGGGAAACTTTCTTTGTTGATTGCCAAGGGTGGGAGGGAAGGAAAGGGAACTCTGCAAAAAAAAAAAAAAAAAAGAAAATACATTGACCCATGTCACTAGTTTTGAGTATTTTACTGCACATAAATTATATTTCAACAAAATGCATTAAAAAGAAAAATGATAAACCTTCACATCAAAAAAGAGGACCACCATAAATATTCAGCAAATACTAAAATAATAACAATGAAGGAAGTGATAACATGATTCATAAACAAAATGAACTCAACATAGAAAATTATATGGAACAAAGAAATCGACACCATGAAAAAGCACATAACAAAAATGACAGCAACAAATTCATATTTGCTGGTAATTACATATCTGGCAAGGGACTTATTTCTAAGATTTATAGTGGAAGAGTGGATGACTAGACTATGGTACATACACATAATGGAATGCTATGCAGCACTGAAGAATAATGTAGAGTCTGCAAAACATCGCATAATATGGGTGAACTTGGAGGACATTATGCTGAGTGACATAAGTCAATCACAGAAGGATAAATATAGTATTAGTTCATTGTTGTGTAGGGTCAAGGAAAGGTATATATATGGAAGGAAACTTTGTTGGTTGCCAGGGGTGAGAGGGGAGGGAACACTGAAAAAAAAAAAAAATGCATTGACCCGTGTCACTTTAGTTTTGTGTATTTCACTGTACATAAATTATATTTCAATAAAATGCATTTAAAACACACACACACTTGTGGTTACAACAGCACTATATAATTAACACATTAGTATGTAAAGATAAAAAGATGGAAAATTGCCAAAACAAAGAAAATTAAATGACCAGTGCAGGGTGTCAGACATCTGAATAGCAGTTCCAGAAAGACAGAAGAGAGTAAATACACCAGAGGAAAGACAGAATTCAAGGAAATTTCCCTGATCTAAAGGCAAGTGCTCCTGGAAGTGACCTTGGCCTGGATAGGGCCCCAGATACCTGCAGATGTGGACAGACCAGCTCTCCTGCATCTCTCACCTTAGAAATGCAGAAATGGCCTTGACTGCCTCGGCTGCCACCTCTAGCACAGGGCTGCTCACTGCCTCTTTCAGGGCGCAGCCTGCATCTCGGCACATGGCTGAGCTTGTAAATAGCTTGATCTCCTCTGGCTGCCTGAAAAAGGTGAAGGAGGGACAAGTGAGTGACTTCCTCCCACTGGCCCCACCAGGATTGGCTCCTTCACATATTTGCTTCCACAGGCTGGCCCTGCAGAGCTGACTTCCCTCCACTTTGCTCACCGAGTCAGGATCTCAGCAAAGAGCAGCAGGCCTTGCTTGTGCAGCTCTGTGTTGTTCACCTTCAGGCTGCCCTGCAGGCTCCTCACCACCGACTCGATGCCTGCCTCAGGATGATACAGCAGATGCCAAGGGATCAGCCCTCTGTCTGTGGCTCCTTCACTGCCCACCCATGAGAGGTGAGAGGCACAGGCAGCACCTACTGGCTGGAGGTCTCTCAGGGAGAGGCCCTGACAGGGCTCAGCTGATGAGACCAGCTGTGAGACCTTTTGAGAGAAGGCCTCCATCTGGCTCATCTCTGCTTCTCCGACCCCTAGCCTGAGCCATACATAGCACAGGCCCTGGCACTTGAATTGTGCTGCTCCAGTGGACACATTTCCATGCTCCCTTGCAGAGTCAGGGCGGACCTCCACTCCTTCAGGAAGTCTTCCCTGACCACTCAGGCCAAATAGGGCCCTGACTCCCCCCAGCTCCTGGCTTCCCTCTAACAGATCTCTAATCACCTTGCACTGAAATTGCCTGTTTATATCCCCCTCCCCCTTCCTGAGCTCAAGCTCCATGAGGGCAGGGACCACGTTTTATGTGTCTCTAAAGCTCCAGGTCTCAGCATGGTACCTGGCACAGAACAGGAACACAGAATAAAATGAATGGCTGAAAGTGCCCAGTCAAAGGGACACACACACACACACACATACACACACACAAATACATACATACATACATATATATACATATATATGTATACACATATATATACATAAAAAAACACAAACTCACTGCCATTAAGTCGGATCCGACTCATAGCAACCTAGCAACACCTCCTTGTGTTTCCGAGGAGGCATCACTATGGAAGTAGATTGCCCAATCTTCCTTCTGAGGAGTGGCTTGTAGGTTTGAACCACCATCCCTCTGGTTAGCAGTTAAATGCCTTAGGCACTATACCACCAGAGTTCATATATATATACATATATACGATTTTAAAAGTCCCAGATAAGGAAAGAATCATCAGGTGAGTTTCAAGAAACTTCAAAAGAATGACTCAACAAAATTTAGGGACTAACTCGTCAATATCTGGGGCACAGGCAAAGACTGACTCCAAAGCTGAGTAACACAGTTTAAAGCCATTCTTAAGGTGCAGCAGGAATTCATTTACTGGCTAATAAGGAGTGTCCTTTCCTTGCTGGAGAGTCTACACACAGATACTTCTGCTAATCAGTGAATGGAGTAGGTAATATAAACAGTTAATGTTCTTAGCTGCTTATCAAGTTTGGAGGTTGGACTCCACCCAGGGGCATCTTGAAAGAATGGCCTGGTGCTCTATTTCCTAAAAATCAGGCATGGAAAACCCTATGGAGTAGAGTTCCCTTTCAACACATATGGGGTCACCATGAGTCAGAGTCGACTTTATAGCAACTGGTTCAATCAGTGAATTGAACCAGTTTGAATTTTCTGAGTCGGATGTGGGTATCAATGCTTGCATGTGGAATCTGGCAATGAGTTCGGGCTGAAGGAAATGAAAAGGCCCAGCACCGCCCTATACACAGTGGGGTCTAGAGTCCCATCACTGCTGCTGCCATCCAACTTTGGAATTCTGTTCCCCTCATCCCAGAGCTCACACTGGACCCCACTACCAACCATATACTGTGTGACACTTGGAGAAGAAGAGTGGCTCTTCAGCCAGGAGTATCAAGCAGCTGTAGACGGACCAGACAAGCACTTCACTGGAGGAGGAAAGATGCTCAAAGAGGAACTCTGGCCGGGGAGAGAGAAGAAAACAGTGGCTGAGGGCTCTGTGACTGAAACTGATGCCAAAGCCCTGGGTTTACGCAGCGTCTCACTCCTGTTATTTCATCTCTACATACACACTCTCAGGAGACTTATCAGCCATTTACAGATGAACTTGGAAATGTCCTCAGGGTTATGACCTAACTTCTTTTTACCAGAGGGGAATCTGAGGCCCAGAGAGAGGTCCTGTTAGTGGTAGGCATGGAACTGGAATTCAGGTCTCCTGATTCTCAGAACAGGCAGCAGCATGAAACAGAAAAGGGCTTTTAGAACCTGAGAGAGACTTGATTTTAGATGCCATCTCTGCCAAGGAGTAGCCTTGTCGATTTGAGGTAGTTACTTCCCTTCTCTGAGTCTCACCTTCTTCACCCATAAAATGGCAGTGCTGAGGACCTAATAACATTTGCCATGCACCACAGGGATGCTTTTCTGGCTCATAACAGGCTCTCAGAAAACATTAGTTTCCTTTGCCATCCTGGTCCACAGTCTTTCCTGTGGTTTTCATTTCTTCTGATGAGATAAATGACAAAAGATCAGCAATAAATGGCTCAAAGTTATACAAGAGCCTAGTGGCAAGAGAATTCAGACTTCGTGAAGAATTCAGACTTCCTACTCTGTCATATACCTATCACCAGCCCACCCCTCCAGTCTGGGCAATCAGAGGACCCCCAACAAAGCTGCTGCTGCTGTGACCCACAGGTCTCCAGTCAGAACTCTGGGTTCTTAGAGGAGAAGGTTGGAAGATCCCCTACCTGGGATATCCGCGTGGATGAAGGCCGGGGCATGCTTCACTGGGGAGTGCACCAGCACTGCAGTTATACAGTGGGCACTGGCCACCTGCAGAGTTTCATCTCTAGATAAGAGAAGCTGAAGAAACAGGCAGGAACAAAGAGTCACAACATTGGCAGGACCACAGGGAACCAGCCCGAGTGCCTGGGGCAAGAGTTTGTCACCTCTGGCTCCTTCAACAAGTACTCAGGGAGACTGGTCATCAACAATGAAGTCTCTCTGACCAGTAACAGGTGAGAAGTAGAACAAAAGGTCACAGTGTAAAATTCATCAGTGGCTCTCAAAACACACTAAGAGCATCATCAAGAAGTGCTCAGCCCTTCCTTGATAAAAGCACTTGCACAGCCCTTGTGTAGTTTTGATGTCTACAACAATCCCATGGCACACCAGGGGAAGGTTCTACTATGATCTCCACTTTCAGAGTGTGCAGGGAAGAGTTAGCATAGCATGCCTGAGACTGTAGCCTTACAAAGGCCTGCTTGCAAGGTTGGGCCTGTACTCAAATTCTTCTTCACCTCCACTATGTAATGTCAATCTGATAGCCCCTTGGTCATCAGGATCAATCACACCAGCCAATATCCTAACTCCCTTCTTTGCCTGTTGATTCAGAGGCATGAGGAGCCAAAATGGTTGGGGAACATCCTTAACTTCCAGTTCAATGGAATCAGTGTTGTGTCTCATGGCGGGAGCATTCCTCGTTTTGGAACTAAGACCTCTAGATCAGCAGAGCATAAGGTTACAGGGATAGGAACAAAAATTTTGTGAGTTGATCACTAGGGATGATAGTGAGTGGTGTCACTCCTATTTCCACTCCTTGATTCCTGGACCCATGAATCCTGTCTATGGGGGAAAAAGCACCATATATTGGACACCAGTTTAGAGTATATACAGCCTACTGGAGAATATTGCCTTAATCCTGCAAGGAACTGCCACCTAGCTGGTGGCATAATTGTGTTTTTAGAAGACCATTCCATTACTCTGTCAAGCCAGTTACTTCCACATGATGGGGAATATGGTAAGACCAGTGAATTCCATAAGCATGGGTGTACTAACACATTTCATTTGCTGTAAAACGAGTTCCCTGATCTGAGACAATGGTATGTGGGATGCTATGATGGTGAATAAGGCATTCTGTAAGTCCACAGATAGCAGTTTAGGCAGAAATAGTGAGTGAAGGGAAGGCAAATCCATATACAGAATAAGTGTCTATCCAAGTAAGAGCAAAATGCTGCTCTTTCCATGATGGAAGTGGTCCCATGTAATCAACCTGCCACCAGGTTGCTGGCTGACTGCCCGTAGGAATGGTGTCCTATCGAGGATTCAGCATTAGTCTCTGCTGCTAGCAGATTGGGCACTCAACAGTGACTGTAGCCAAGTAGGCCTTGGTGAGTGGAAGTCCATGTTGCTAAGCCTATGCATAGCCTCCATCTCTGCCACCATAGCCACTCTGTTCATGAGACCTGTGGACTAAATGAACACATAGGGTTGGGAAGTTGATATACCCCTGGTGTACAACAGTAAAGATATTTTGTTGGCCTTGCCAGCTGAAGGTGAACTGCTGCTGGTGATCCTTTGAAACCAGGATCTGGCATTGGCCAGAACAACAGCTGCATACCAGGTAAGAGAAGATGTATTTATTTGCTCAAGCAATGAAACCACAACTGGAACACCAGCTGCAATTGGAATCACCACCTGATTAAGTTTACAATAACCCACTATCTTTCTCCAAGATCCATCTGTTCTTTGTACGTGCCAAATAGGCAAGTGGAATGGTGATTTGGTGGGAGTTATCACTCCTGCATCCTTCAAGTCCTTAACGGTGGCATTACTCTCCGCAATCTGTCTAGAAATTTACTATTTTCTGAGGTAGTGTTAGTTCTAATGGCTTCCACTTGGCTTTTCCTACCCTAAAAACCCTTCCTCTACATTTGGGGATCTAATGTGGGGGGTTCTGCCAGTTGTTGAATATGTCTATTCCAATTATGCATTTTGAAATACAGGATGAGTTTCAGGACCTACTGGACCCTCTATGAGATGGATCTGAGCTGAGAATTAATAATCTGACTTCCATGTACCCCCACTCTGACTGGTGGGCCACAGTGACATTTTGGATCTCCTGGCTCATTGCTGGGTGAATTAAATGTGTCCTGTGTGACAAGACTGGGACAGGACCCTTGGAAACTTGTGTCTGTCTTCCCCTAAATTTTGCCCCAGGTACCTTTTCCATTTCCTGATTTTGCTTTATTGCCTTTCATTGTGATAATCATAACTGTGAGTAAGATTATATGCTGAGTTCTAAGTTCTCCTAGTGAATCACCAAGCCTGGGATGGTCTTGAAGACTTCCAACACAGAAAGGAAGAAATTAAAGCTTAGGGAGGTTAAACTACTCACTCCAGGCCTCACAGCTATTAAATGGCAAAGCTAAGACAGAAATGTAGGTGTCTTAGTTATCTAGTGCTGCTATAACAGAAATGTCACAAGTGGAGGCTTTAACAAACAGATATGTATTATCTCACAGTTTAGGAGGCTACAAGTTCAAAGTTAGGGTACAAGCTCTAAGGGAAGGCTTTCTCTTTCTGTTGGCTCACACTTTAGGAAGAAGGTCCTTGTCTACTTTCAGCATCTGTGTGCCTGGCATCCCTTGGAGATCCACATGTGCCTTGATAACATCTTCCTCAGGTTCCAGGAGGTTCTTAGCTCAGGGTCCAAAGGACATGTTCTACTCCCACCTCTTTTTTCTTGGTGATAATGGGTCCCTCCTTCTTTTCTCACTTCTCTCTCCTTTTATCTCTCATAATATAAAAAGTGATGCAGGCTACACTCCAAGAAAATTCTCCTTACATCTGATCAGGGCTATGACCTTGACCTGAGTAAGGTTATTGCATCCCCTGATCACATCAGATCACATCATGGGGATGATTGCATCACAACATAACTGCCAAATTACATCATTACATAACTGGCAAACAGTGAGAATCATGGCCCAGACAAGTTGACACATATTTTGGGGGGATACAATTCAATCCATAATACCAGTTCAGCTAAGTCCAAATCTAGGAGTCTTCCCACAACTGAGATGCCCTCCTCATCAAAAACTTAAATCAGGTTACTCCTCTATTCAACACATTTCAATGAATTTTCATTGTATTCTGAATAAAATTGAAACTCCTAATAGATACCATAGCTATCAGGATTCCCATCTACTTTTAGGAATCAAGGAAAGGCTTAACAGATTTTCAGTATAGTAGAAACTTGCCTGCTGTGGGAAAATACATTCCAGTAGAATATATTTGGCCAGAAAAAGGAGAATGTGTCTAGCTTACAGTTTCAAAGGAAAAGGACCAACTCATGCTTGTGTCTGGCAAAGGTACATCCAAGGACTGCAGTCTTAAACCCATCTCAGAGTAGACTTACAAATGGACACATAAACAGCCTTTCTATTAATATGTAAAGGAGTTTCTGTATGTTAATCTTTATATGTTCCTTTCTATGAAGGAAAGGACATCTTGTATTTTATCTTAACACTCCATTAACTATAAGACAAATCATTATTTTATGTGTCCCTGTTATGGACTGAACTGTATCCCAAAAACATGTGTTGTAAATCCTAACCTCTATGCCTGTGATTATAATCACATTTGGGAATGTGTTCTCTTTGTTATGATAGTAAGACAGGTTTAGTGTAGGTGTGTCTTAAGTCAGTTTCTTATAAGATATAAAAGAGATTAAACAAGTAAGCAGAGAAGGAGGAAGGGAGATGCCCAAGCCACATGAAGATCACCTAGGAGCAGAAGCTCAGAAGAGATAAGGACCCTCCTCTAGAGCCACCAGAAAGAGGAAAACTTCCCCTAGAGCTGGCACATTAAATTCGCACATCTAGCCTCCTAAACACTGAGAAAATAAATTTCTATTTGATAAAGCCATCCACTTGTGCTACTTCTGTTATAGCAGAAACATGTCTTCTGTTATAAGACAGCCCCTAAGGGTAGTGTGCCCATGACCATGTACAGTGTTGCCAGACACTGTTTCTACAAGTGGATCTGTATGCTCTGTAAGAATGTCCATGTATGTAGTAGAGCTGACAAAGGACAAGGTAGTAGTCACTTCTTGGCCACAGCCAGCTACCCAGAGGGAGCGAGTAGTTGGACCTGCGGGTTCAGGACCATAGTCCCAGGGGACATCAAGCTCAACTGGCATAACATACTACACAAAAACACTGTTCCACCTCCTACTTTGGCAAGTAGCAACTGGGATCTTAAAAGCTTGCAAGCAGCCATCTAGATGCAACAATGGGTCTCACCTCATCCATAGTAAAGAAGAATGAAGAAAACCAAAGAGGCATGGAAACAATTAGTCCACGAGACTGGTATACCATGCAATCCTCAGCCTATACAACTATGAGATCAGAAGAACTAGATGGTGCCCAGCTTCCCCTGTCAACTACTCAGAGGGGGATCTATGAAGGACATCCTGGATGGAGTAGGAGAACAACTCAAAATCATTAAAAAAAAAAAAAAAAGGGACCAGTTTTGCTGACAGAGCCCAGTGGAAACCCTGAGACTATGGCCCCTAGCTGCCCTTCAGGTCTGGAAGTGAACCCACTCCTATGGCTTCCAGCCAAATAAAAGACAGGCATGTGAGCTGAACATTTACATTAGGTGGATACACTCCTTGGAGAGATCAATCATGGGAGAATAGAAAAGCTGTGTATGTACAAGGAAACAGCTCTGGGTGCAAGAGGGAAGGACACAGGGAAGCGGCAACTGTGGGAAGAAAGTGGAAGGGGAGCTGTTGCATTGTGGGAAATTGCAGTCAATGTGACAAAGTGTTTGTGAGCTGCTGTATTAAAAAGGAATCTGCTCTGTAAACTTTCACCCAAATCACAATAAAAAATTTAAAAAAAAAAGAAAGAAAAAGATAGGCCCCTAAGAAAGAAAAAGTGTTACTCATTAAACTGATGACCAAATTACACACAACAGACGTTGATAGTGAGATGTCTCTCAATTCTGTAATTGTCAAAATATAGGGGAATAAATATGTCTTTGAATCAAAGAATTGTGGTATTTCTCCATTAAGT